CAGGAGCATGTACCTTATACATAGACATTCTACACTATGAAGTGGCAAGTCTGAAAATGCCGTAGATTTCGAGAAATCAATCTCATTTTGCAAATAGCCAGCGGCCAATATTGGAGTTTTAGAGAAAAATATTAGATAAAAGGGGGAAATCTCCCATTCAAAGTCATGTAACTACAGTTCCAGTGGGACATGGTTGATTCCGACGCAAACAAAAATGTTTGATATGGAATCACGCGTGTAAAGATGGGCTACCGAGCAGTGGACAAACAATGCTGAATGCTCTTCAAGACGCGATAAGCGTTATTTAATGCGTTATTTTCAGTGCTTGTATCGCACCCACAGCATACTTTTTGCAGGAAACAAAGAATAACAAACGCGCGAAGGCAGATGTCACAGAAGTTTCTGCTCTTGTAGTTGGTTGTTTGACCGTAGCACGTTTGGCTTCAGGGAACCATGAGCAACTGCTATTCCAAATATTGTAGTAAACAACCACCTATTTCAAATTTTCGGCTGCATTGTCTTGCTGAGTAAATTAATGCTTAATTAGGGCCTTTCCCGTAGGATTAAACAGTGGTTTTCCATAAACAATTACCCCTCTCTTTTCTTACCCTGGAAACATCAAAATAAAATGCTCTGTGATGCAAGTCATTCGATATTTAGAAAACGATGTTTAAAATTTCCACCAATTCCTCGCCTTCCATCGCCAATGGAACAGCGCGTCTTCCTGCATGGTTAAAATTTTGTCCTAACAGGTAGGTTACGAGGAGGTTCGGTACCATCCTTATTATCCCCGTTGAAAGAGAGAAGCAACATCCATGTACGAACACAAAAAATTTGGACGAGATAAATTTTAGCAGCAGTCGTCATCGCATAGTAAAAGATCGACGTGGCTAGTCGCACAATCGGTTTGGAAGAGATTTTACACCACCTGAACGCGTTACACGTTTAGAAACGCACTGAGCAAAAGAGAACATCTTTTTGACTGGAATTTCACGGGCCTATGGTAGTAGTTCGCTTGCCAAGTTGACAAGCGTTTTTGGTACTGAAGCAGCTAGTGGCAGAAGAAAACGTTTGTCCAGGCAACTTTACAATTTTGGCCGCGGAGTACATGATCTTCAGTAATCACAGCAATAGCTTTCAGTTCTTCGCCCTACACAGGTCACTCAAATTTTAGTCATGAATGTCATCGTTTGACAAAAGTAGCTTACTTGCGGCAGCACATTCTACGTCACCCTGGAGGGTGCTGACTGAAGAAATAAGGTCACAACAAATTGCAAATGTTGGCAGAATATTTCAGTCAACCGCGACCATGTTCGCATACATGCAGGGAGGCGCTTCACGGAGTCCTGAAAAATCCTACCCACGACAGCTCGGAGGCTCCTAATTAGGAAACGCGTTGCAGCGGAACTGGACAAAATCACTTGAGGATCACGTTGGTCTTAAAAAGACTGGGCTATCTGGTACGTTGTAGTAACCATTGATTTACAGTGATTCAAATGGCAAGCACGAACGCCATTGAAGAACTTTGCTATCCATTTTCGTCAGTATATCTAGAAGGAGTCGGCGGTTTCAGCTATCGAGCCCCAGTAATTATTGGTTTTGCGCATTTCAATTTAAGCACTTATCCTGTGCTTTTTTGGATACAGGGGAAACGGTAGGGAATTTGTAAAACCTGCTTGCAGTATGCATTTTTAGGAGCAAGTTTTGCAGCTTACTCGATTGGTGAAGATTGCAATAATGATTAGGAGAGCCATTCACAACACGTGCCGTACATGGAAAAACGTGGTCTCTTAGTCACCGGAAACAAGCTGTTCGCCACAAATGCCAAATAATGACACTCCAGAAACGCGCGCGGAGGATGTACGAAGATGAGCGTCCTTAACTCCAAGCAATACATTTT